CAAAGAGCAATTTCAAAGGGTTAATTTATTTTTAGACAAAGTACCCCCCTTCCGATACCCCTGACCGCTAAGCGCAGCGCAAAGCGCTTTCTGTCAGCGTAAATCTACTTCCGTTCCGGATCCAGCGCCACTATAAGCAAGATAGATAACTCAACTTGTTATTCTAAAAATATACAACTGGAAATCCCTGACTCTCTTTCTCCTATATTTTAGTGTACTGCTGCGTTACGCGCATTTCTAATAATACAAGGTAATTAGTAAGGTTTAAGGATGTTCCACAGCTAGTAGATAAGAGCAGTTCTTATCATGCTCTTCTCTATACATTGTAGTTCATTTAAATCATGTCGGCACACATTACTTTGGTTCCATGTAGCTTACAATTGCTGCCTCTATGGCGCAAATACTAGTACTTAGTTTAAAAACAGTATATTATTTATCATGTACATGCAATATAGTGATTGAATATTCAATACGTACCCGATACATGATTTAAAACTCAGATGAGATTTTGATAAGTTTTTAAATCTCAAACTGGAAGTGAGTTATTCAGTAAAAGAAATCACATGAAATTGATTTACAATGTACTACTCACATAATATGGTACGTTCTACTAGTATATATCCATGTAAACTATAATTATTTTTTTCTAGACATTTATTTCAGACAATGTAACTATAAATCAAGCCTTACTATTAACATCTTGCACCATGCTGAGATTTATCAGTGACCTCAGTTTTCGCATCTAAGTATCAATTAGTAACAGACTGGAATGCATTCAACATGTTCAAGGACGGTCTTTTTTAATGTCTATACTTGTGTTGTACATAATTCGAAAGGAAGGCAGTTTGTGGCTGTACAGACATACAGGACATGTAGTGGTTGTGTTTTCAACGGATCCACTCAAATAGTAAATCTTATTTCCCAGAATACATGTATTGTGCTCTAAAATTGTGCGTGTTGTTTGCAGGATATGGCGAAAAATGCTAAAACCTTTATTAACGTTCTTAACAATGGACAGAAATAGAGCTGATGAAATGTTAAGCAAACGGTGTAATACTTGAAGTAGGGAACTAGGATTAAATAGTTTATGTAAAGATGTGTCTCAGCTGTGTTGCCGATTCTTAATGAAGAGTAATAAAAACATAATAAAATAATGTTCAGTTGTATACCTTCATGAAGATTTATTAAAACTTGAGATTAATACTGTATTTTCTTTCTTGGACTCTTGAATTATTAATCATTGAAATAGCAGAAATATTATGAGCAATTATTTTCAGTTTTCCATTCCAACTAGCACAACAGTGCTGTATATATGTTTTTTCCCTCTCAACATGTTTTGCATGGTAGTGAAGATCATAGATACACAAGTGAAAAATGGTGAAAAGCATCAAGCGTCCGCAAAAAAATATTGAAGCATTTTAATTTATTTCAACAATAGTCAAAAATACCTTTGGGAGTTTCATGACGTATTTTTAATAAAAAGAAGAAAAGTGTAAGATTTTTTATTGCAAAAGCGTATCATTTACTATTGAGTGACACATATTGTATATCAACACAAATATTACTGCAAATACATATACGCCATAAATCATATATTTGAAAATCAGAGATAACAGAATAGTATCAAAAGATAAATATAAAATCTTTATACTAAAATATATTTACATATTATCTCTGACATAAAGGGCGTTAATTCTACGGATGTTCGTTTCTTTTGCATAGAGTTTTGTCATATGATGTTGTTACAAACATGATTCCAATCTTCAATTTGAAATACTTGTAAACGCAGAATGAATTTGTTATTAAATATGATCACCAGAAGATTTTATCTTTCAGTGTTGCACTTAAATGAGAGGAATTTTAGCGACATTTTCAAGTGTTCACATTTTTTTTTCAAATACAATGTAAACATCTTCCAGCAAAAGTATAGCTACATCTACATTTAGAGTTTAAATTTCATCGGAAAACTCGATTACTATCTCCCTTCCCTTCCAATAAATTGCAATTTATACGTAAATACGACCTCTTATAGATTCCTACAAGGCGATGGGGAAAGAAAATATTTTTACACGGAAAAATATTCTTGCAATTTCGTGTACAGTACTGTAAGTAAAATTGATTGATCTTTTACGAAGATAATGTATAATTATGGCAAGCCCTTTTACTATTTATTCGGAAAATAAAATTTATCTTAAAATTACAGAGATATCTCTTTGTCATAGAGATATCTCTTAAAAATAGAGATATCTCTCAACTTAAAGAGATATCTCTCATTTTTAAGAGATATATCTATGAGAAAGAGATATCTCTTAAACTTGAAGAGATATCTCTTATACTTAGAGATATCTCTCTTCATGTTTTTTAATTAAATTCCATTTCAAATGACTTCTCCCTTACCGGAAGTAAGCTTTTTATTGACGGAAATACTCAAATTAGAAATAGTTGATTATTTCATAAGCTGAGAAAATTCGGTCCATTGCATTTGAGAAACATTTATAAAAAGTGATCAATTTAGTAAATTTAGAACATATATCCATTGCTTATCTCACCTCTTGAATATTGGGACTGACAGTCTTAGCTTAAGTATACCATTGGCTGTTACATTTCACACCCCAGTCAATCAGACCAACATCTGTGAAACAGAAAAGATGTCTATAAATTGAAGCATTTTTCTATTTTTCTTTCAAACTTTTAAAATAAAATGATTAATCTAGCACATGGTTTTGCTTGTTTTTCTTATTATCTCTAATAATTTCTCAAGGTAGATCATATTAATCATTCAGGGTAGCAGGTACCCGTTATTAATGAAAAATGAAGAAAATCAGCAGGTTTTTGTAAGAAAAAGCTGGGTTATGGAAAGAGTGAAAACTAATGTAGATAAAATAATCAATGGAAAGAAAGAGAATTATATCTAGTTCAAATGTACATAAGATTAAAACAAATTCTATCAGCAGTGGGTTGATGGCATCAGAGAATCAAATACATCCCCACTGAAAATTTTGTAATTTTGAAGGGGGGTGACCTACATTTTAGCCAATTTTCATGAACATTTCATGTAATTGATGTTAAATATGTATATTCTCATAAAAGGCAAATATATTTATTTGCATATCATTTCTTATTATTGACATAATTAATAAATTGATTAAATGCCAAGGGCAGATAAATCATATTGTCTGACTGAATACAGTGCTCAATTGTACGCAAAATGTTTAAATAACCGCAGTTCTGAGGAAATTTATTTTCTAATAATCTATAAAAAGTTCTAAATAACTTAAATATTAAGAGATTAACTAGATTTTCGAAGAAAACCATACCTTGGAACTCTTAATGAAAGCAAAGGGATCATCCCGAGAGTGTCCATGTGTTGTTCATTGTAAGAGGGTAGGGTTCATTAATCTCTTCCTTCTTGATAATGCATTGCTGAAATACATTTTATTTTATTAAAACATACTAATAAATGCATCTAGTACCTTATATAATAATTTTTAATTATTTACACCATCTTTTTCTAAATTTTTTTTTAAGCATTTGTGATGTAATACCTTTAAAATAAACATGTTAAAATAGAATTTACTCAGATAATTATTTCAAAAAATATCAAAGAAATTGAAAAAAAATAACTGCAGATAAATATGACTCTTGTTATTCAAATAAACCCAATTTAAACAAAAATCCTTCATTTTTCAGCATGATTAGAGCACAAAATTACCCCCCCCCCTTTTCAGCAGAATATCAAGATTGGATATGGCAAGGAGGCGGGATATTCAGACACCTTTTATAATTTTTTTAGTTATAATTTTGCATATTTATTGCATTTTCAATGTATTTTCTGCACAAATATATTGTACTGTAATTTCAATTAAATTTCCTACAAGTAATCTCTAAGTTTCACCAAAAGTATAACTTTTTTTCAAGCCAGCACTGATTACATGACTGAAACTGGCTTTTCTGCTGGATTATGCCCCTTATGTAAAAACAAAGTAACCTAGTTTGTTAACAGCAGTCAAATTTTGTTATAAGTTATTCAATCAACTCTGATTAACACAAATTTGAAAAGGGTTTTCAAAACTGTTCCGTGTCTACACTCAAAAAACACATGGATTTAAATGAATTTCTCAAACTGCGAGGGGGATATTCATATGTTTTGTGTATTGATGATGCCCATAAATATTGATATTGTATTATTTACAATATTCACAGTAAATTTCGGTATAAATATTTATTTAAAATTATTTACATGAACATTTATTGAAAATATGAGAACTAGGGCAAAAATTTTGGCATTTTTTCACTATGTGCAGTCCCCATTGTGAGCCTCAATTTACCCAAACCCTCTAATTTTTAAACAAATACTCAAAACTAACTAAAATATAATCCCAATGCCAAAAAAATAGGAACTGATTGATTTTTTGGCTGTAATCATTTTTTATCCATGAAATCATACCTATTCTATAGGACAAACACCACCAAATGTTTTCCCATAGACTTCCATACAAACTTTAGCCCCTCTCACTGATACATGTATTGAATTTCTGGCAAATGACCTTTTTGTCGTGAAAGTTCGAGATATTGGAAAACAAAAAATGCCAGAAAAAATATACCGTGCCGTTGCACTTTTACTTTCAATTTCCATTTGTTTACAACTAGGTGCGTTTGACACCAAATGAAAATCTCTAACCAAAGTGCATTCCTCCCTTCAAATTTTTACCTGTAACTCATATATACCTCAAAGAAACCCAAGTCTTGATATGAGATTTTTATCAACTTTATTTCACTTGTCAAATACATAACAAGTCTTTTCTCTTATTGACCAATCACGCGCCAGCTAGCATTTTCTCCTCCGCACAACTTTGGGTGTCCAAAATGTCTGCGCCCATGTATTTGTTTATGTAGGGGTTTTTCCTGAAAACGGCTGCCTGTACCAACGAAGAGATGGTGTTGATATTGGAAACACACTTTAGAACTAATAAGCCGTTGATTAGGGGTAATACGTTTCACTTTTAAGCAGCCTTGGAAGATTGGACAAGAAAAGTTCAGCGTGCAAAGCGTGCTATAAACAGAAAAGTAACGTTTCAAGAACATCTGATATTATTAATTGTTAGTAATCTCAACTTGGCTACAGGGTTTCAGCAATTAATAATAATGTAAATGTGATTTTTTAAAAATGAATTTTTAGTCAGTGTTCGTTGATAAACTACACAACTATTTGTACACAACTTGTTAATAGAAATTTGGTAATATGCACAGTTGTCCTGTACTATTGTTTTTGTAAAGTATTAGTCAATGAAGTTGATGAACTTCAAGTAGTAATTTCATAGCACACATGATTTGATATAGAATAATTTTTTGAGTTAATGTCAAGACAAAAAAATCAAATAAAATACTAATTCTTTTGAATAGTTTTATAATTTATCATGTTTAGTCCAGTCAATTTGTCATCAACCCCAAACAAATTGCAACAGAATTTTTTTCTTCATA